GGGAACAAATCTTTAAACCTATCCGTGTAGTGGAGGAAAGGAAACACGATAAATGAAAGCGACACATAAATTGCCAATTTCCAGAGCACAAAAGCGAGTACAATTGCTGCTTCCATCTTCAGCTAATACATGCTCCCTTCGAAACAATTACGACGAACAATGCCAAAACTGTATGGAAATTAATGAAGCTTGTAATAGAATCTTTCACTGGAAATTTCACTTGCACTTATTTTGTTGTCTTTGATTTGACTTTTTCCATCTTATTTTGCACCGAAAAAGAAAAGTCGGATGTTCTACGTTCGTAATTTAAATTTCGCAAGAAGATAATTGAATCAAACAACACGCATTACTGCTAGTGCGGATCGATCATTTTCACCAATCGGGGAGACGCGTTTAACTTTCATAGATGCACTTTCTCAACGTTAATGATGCCAAAGACGGTTTGTTCAAGAGGTGCCGACAGTTTTTATACACAAATTGAATATGGCTGCCATTTGCGTGCGACCAATCTACGAAATAGATTGCCACTACGGAAAATTGCCTCACGTTAATTCGATAAGTAGCTATGTGTTACATAATTATTCCGCTCATCACAATGACCATGGCAGCAATTGAAAATGAACAGCTGAGGTATCTTTTTTAATCATTTATACTGCTTTGTTAATTAACGCCCGTTCGTTTGCCGGGTTAAATTTCACATCTCTCACGCCAAAAGCGGTTGTTTACAGCTTTTAACCTTTTACCATCAGTGGGAACGTGAATGCGTATACATTCTTTGTTTTTACTTTTGTTTAATAACATTGTTAAGCCTGTTCGTGTCATAATTACACAAACATTTACATGTTACGTCTGTAGATGCCTCTCGCTGTTACATAACGGTGGAGGCCACGTTTAAAATCTACTCACAACATAGACATATACTAGAAAAATTAGATAAAAAGATTAATTAGAAATTAGTTATAATAGTTATTGATATAGTATCTAAAATAAATTGTAACATTTCAAATATCTATTTAACTGTAAAGAAGCTTTGATAATAATATTAAATATAGTCAAAAGTATATTAACTAGAAACGACAACAATTTAAATCCAACTTTAATGTCACAAGAATAACTCTCACGGCACACAACGGAAGTGAAACTCTTTTAAGATAGCACCAACAATAGGTAATAAATAAGACATACTCGTAACATATTCAGAATGAGTAAAGACAAAGAGGAAAACAAAAAAAATTAATTACGTTATTTACTTTATCCGAAACCGTCGACGTAAAATGTCGAAAATATTAATAACTAAAAAAGAAACCTTTCTCATACAAAGAAGAATTTGTGAGAGTTTAATAACATGGATTTTATAACAAGACGATAAAAAGATTGTTGGGAGTCTTATAGTCTCCGATCACTCGGATTCCCACCCATGAACTGTAATTGCAATAGACGATTCAATCATCTGATCTAAAACTGTCATTCAAGCGTCTCGCGAGGTGTAATGCAAATTTAAATCTCGTTAGTGTATAGCGTTACATGTGCTGTAGCCTTTTTTTTTTCGATACATTCTCTTCTGAATAATTGACAAACCTTGGTGTTATATACAGCATGTCGTTACCATCGCGACAATAAATGAACACACATATAGGGGATAACTTTTTAAAGTTGTATTAAACATTTAAATTCTTTAAACATCAATATTTACAGAGTTATTAAATTTTCCAAAACAAAGAATTTTAGAACACCCTTACCTATAAAAGCGTAACGCAAAGTTCATTTGTAAAGGTCACAAAGCATATGAATGGGTTGAATGAATTTAAAAGAGACAAAACATACTGTTAGAAGGAGAGGCTTGTAATGCGACGCTGTGGCGCGAGTTGTATAGGATGTTACAAATTTTGTTTATTTTTACTTAATTAGTTTGTTAGAAAAATATTTTTTTTAATTATGGATTTTATTTAACGTTAATATTTTTATATGATTATTGGCAAGTAGCGTTAGACGTGTCTTCATTTATTATCGCGATGTTAACGACACGCTGTATATTGCATTTCTTGATATGTCTTGGTTGTTTTTAACTTATTTTGAAGAGGCTCTTACTTATCTATCTGAAGTTTTCGTGTTTTAACGCTTTCGACTAACTACACATCATCAAAACATCTCAATCTGGAACCAATATCTGTAAGTCGTTCAAAGAGTTACCTCGAATCCACGCCGATGAATTGAAGCAAATACGTACCGTGTCATCGAAAAATTTAACTTTAATAATGCTCATTGAATTCAGTACGCAAATAGTCCTTTCCCTTATGTACGACTAGCTGTCCCCACGACTTCGTCCGCGTGGAATTTAAAATAAAAAAAAAAATCTTAAAATAAAAGTAGCCTAAGTTACTCTTTATTACATCAGTTATCTGCCAGTGAGAGTCCCGTCCAAATCGGTCCAGCCGTTTCAGAGATTAGCCGGAACACACAGACAGACAAAAATTGTAAAAAATTGTATGCATTTAGCAAAAACCGTTTATTTTAATATTACAAATAGGTACTCCAATTTAATTTATTTGTATAGATTGATCCTTCGCTACTGGGAATGCAACGAACGATATAGCCTACGAGTGCCTATTCTGGGATCAAACGATTTCGGAAGTCAAACGATATGTAGCAATACACAAATCGGTTCGAGCGCATCTGGACACCGGCTTGGGAAACCGCAGATTCGTAAAGACAACCGCACGTAAATATTGCGCCGCTTATGCTTTGAACGACGGACGCGGCGAAACGCAGCTCGCGAAACGTTCGAGTACCGCTATACCGTAACAGTCTAAACAATCTAGCCTTTTTGTGCCAACTTTACGAACATAGAATTTTGTTCTAGTTTATTACTAAATGGAACCTCTGAGCGAGGCTTACTGTGGTAGGGCCACACAACTGTATTCGCTGTTGCACTAACGGGGAGATCCGTCCAGGGAATTACTACGCTGTGTGTTCTTACGAAGTGAAGTCGAAGTGTTATACTTCTGCGTTTCGTCTGGTGTATGGGGTAACCGAAGTCTACTTTATTAAAAGGTACCAACGCATCTGCAACCCAACGGGTGTTGCGAATTTCCATAGGCGGAGGTTATCACTAAACTTAACATCAGGTGAACCGCCAACTCACTTGCTACCTTCTCATATAAAAAAACATTTAATCGCTTATTTAAATAAAGAAGAAGATTAGTTCGATACAATATTACAAAATATATAAGATATTTACATACTAGTACTGGCTATTCTGCTGTTATTATAATGCATTTACAGCAAGTACGCCCTTATATAACAAAGCAAAAACTGTTCTTAAATAGGTCAAAATGTGCAAATGTAAAAAATACGTTGAAAAAAACAACTTCAGAATGTAATCTTTATCCCAATTTTAAATATTAAAGACAAAATTTCCATGTAAATTAAACTGCAAGACAGACTTAACCAAAAGCCATGCCTACAAAATAGTGCATAACAAAACAAAAGGACATTTGTAAACGCGAGCCGTGCATAATATTCTTTACGTCCACGCCTGTCATATAACCAAGCAATTCCGTATTGCATTTGTAGCGTTTGTGGCCGTCGGCACACGAAACGCTGCGGACCTAAAGCTATCGTGCACTAACCGTTGACCTCGTGACTTGAACGGGCCATGTCAGGCAGGCAGCAGATACAATAGTATAATGATAATAATAAACTCTCACGACCTAATAAGCCCATGCGAAATGTGGCTTTCCAACGATTTACCAGCAACAACTGACATCTTCAGACGAACGACGTAAAAGTGAAGATGAAAAAGACATTGTAAACAGAGCTGATGGAGTAGACTCGCGATGATGGATCGAAATGACTTAAAAATATAGGTCAGCACAGCACATAAGTGTCAGCAAACTGCGACATCATGGCTTAAAAATAAACATTTTGAGTTTTATCTTGAATGCAGATAACTAGCACTAAAAATACAATTAATTATTAAAATGACAAAACAAAAATTCATGTAGTTCAATGGAGCGAAAGAGAATCTACAAATCGCATTGTCGATAAAGATCATTTTTTACGAAAGAACATCGTCTTGTTCGATACTACATTGTGATGGGCTAAAACAAAAATTGGTAACTGAGAATCTTTTATGAGTAGATCTATCTATCGATGGGTCAAAGACGTCCACAAAAAAATTTGCAAGCCCTCACTTAAAGACCACATTAATACTTACCATCAATACAAAAAAAAACCGTTGACTACGGTTTCTAAAACGTTCTCAAGCGCCTTCTAATACCAGCAGCGCAGGAACTTTTAAGATAACTGCCTAAAACAAAAGAAGTTAAAACAAGAAGTATGTAAACTTAACGGTACACGTAGCAGGACATGGTTTGTCGCTTATAGTTACATACATCTCTGTAAATAACTATTAGAGGTACCTACCGTACCTGCATTGTTTGTTCCTGTGTAGACCTTTGTAATTAGAACCTTCCGCGGTCCAAAGTCATATTATTCCATTATTGTTACGACGACAGTATTGACGACTTTAAACATTTTTTAGGCTTAGTATAGAATATTTAAAATATTAACGAAAAATTATTAACCAAGAAATAATTAAACTATAAGTAGTCAATATTTGTTTAACTTCATTTTACCAAAGCTCGTCATTTAATAAGGTCTTCACCTATTTCTTAAACCGTCTTAATAAAATTTTACTTATGTACTTTATCTATGTACACAAGAAGTATCTAAATAACAAGGAGAAATTACTCACTTCGGCCCTTCTAGATAATAACTTTTTTTTGATTGTACTAACGAAGCAAACTGAATGAAAATTAATTTTGCATTTGATTGTACTAAGCAAACTGAACGTTATAGAATTCTTTAAAATAGTTAAACTCTGCTATTTAATTCTAACAACGTTTGAAATTTAAACGAATTCTATCAGCGACCATTTAAAAACTGCAAAACGACTTATTTTCTCATTCAATAAAGACGCATACAGCTCAAACTGAAATATGAAGCTCGAAGCGCAGTCGAAATCCCCGGAACTATCGTACGCGTGGAAGGACATGTCGACGCATTCGCCGACAAAGGAAAGAGGTGCGACCGGGGGGCATCAGTCACTCGTTGGCAACGCCCAGCATACCAATGAGCGAAGCTTTACACAGCTATTCCACGATGACTGCCTATGTTCACGAAGAAACAATTAAAAAGCAACTACAACACGCAGCTACAACAGTAAAGCGCGATGAACACGGTCGCCATAGCCTCTGAAGACAGAATGTTCGGGGTTATTGCTATCTGCTATTTAAACCGTAAACTTAAGCGATGCACATCTTTACTCGGTAGGTAATCGGCTGTTAACAGTTAACACAATTACATTCTCAGGCAACCACACTCAGAGACTATTAATATTTAACTAATATTAAACTCATTTGCGATGCTAAATAATTTATGGGTTAAAAGACTTACACTATAACGTACTATTCGTACAGTACTATTGTGAAACGAAAGCTGCGACAATTTTAACCCTAAAAGTTGCGCGTTTTAATCGAAACAATTATCTAAATTGTTTATCCGATCCATAAAAATGAAGAAGTAAGAATTTATAATAACCAAGTTATAAATTATACATTTATCGGAGATTGTTGCACCATGCCTTAAAGGCTACAAATTAAAAATTTTAAAAAAAACTATAAAAAACGTTTATAAAATTTTATCGCTAAGGACTGTGTTTAAAGCACAACCAACTTTCTTTTACTCATTCGACCCAAAAGACGTTCTAATTCATCTTAATAGTTTCACGGTTTTTAACGTTGAAACGGGTTTTGATTGAAAAATAATTTTATGATAAATTATCCGTTGAAACCGGAACGCAGTCGACGGCGCTGTCTTTAATTTGTAATAAACAACACGAATGAATAAAGTACTTATTTTAAATGTGTTAAGATTAATGTATCGCTAAGTGTAACCGTCGAATTACAACGTAGTCACGGTATTTTGAAAGGAACTAAAACTAACAGGCTTTATATTATGTCGTGCGGAAAACTCACTAATTCAGATTTGAATGCTATTGTCACGCACTGTCAGTAAGTTCGATTTTTGCTTGGGATGAAAATAATGTCTTCCATAAAAAAGCTGTATATATGTTCAGGTTCATGAAACCTTAACTGTGGTAGGACCACGCAACAGTCTTCTCTGTTGCACGAATGGGCAGTTCGAACGAAAACGAAAACCTTTACGATTTGCCATCTCTTCGGGTATTACCTGCCACTATATATTGGAAACAAATATGAGAAAGCAACTAACAACGAAATTAATCAGTGCAAGCCACAGGGATTGCAACCATCGCTGCCGTATTTAAATAAAAAAATAATTTGTTATAGTTTAAGATGACTATCGTGTTATTGAAGTTACAGTTCTTTTGGCGCGTTTCGAAAAATTATGTTAGTAAAATTTTTACGATGCTTGACAACTTAATCTTGGCAACCAATAACAAAACTTTGACATTTACCAATAATTCCAAGTTGTTATATAAGCCGTTATCAATTGCATTTAATGTCTTTACAATAAATAAAGTTTTCTAACGTGCGTACATAAGTACACAAATACTTTTTTTTAAAAACAATGTGACAATTGCTGACCAAACGACGATTCGAAAACGCGGCGATAGCTGAATATGGGACATACTCGTGTAAAAGTTTATTGTTCCATTACGAGGAGTACAATATGAGAATCATAAATAGCCCCGAGTCCGACACTGGAAAGATTCCCACATAATTATCGTCCAACTACGCAGCGTCGGACGGTCCCGTCTGAGTCACCATCAGCTTGAGGTCAAGAGCACGCGTCGTCGGCCTGCCTACCTGATGAGGATTGCGCGTGCCACAAGCTATGCACGTTTGAATACAATTCTTTTTCGAAAAAGGCATAAGGACGATTTTCGAGTTCCATCTTCTTGACATTCCTTGGTACCGCAGCGCATTTTGATGATTATAAATTAATTATGATCCACCTCAATTGATTTTTTTATTACTTTATAATAGTGTGCTTTTTGTTTATTTATGATTATCAAACAATGATCAATAAAATAATCTATTCGCAATTAAGTAGGTATAGGAATAGTAATAGAAAGTAGGAGTAGTAAAAAGACACCTTAAAAATAACGGACTAGTACAAATTACGACTAAGTTAGCAACATCAAAGTACCAAGAACTGAATTATATCTTCAACAATATTTTTGTGATAGTTACAGTTTGTATTCGCCACATAGAAGCTTTTATTATATCGAAACAATTATATCTACAGTTGTGTCATATACAGCGTGTCTTTACCATCGCGACAATAAATGAACACACATCTAACGCTACTTGCCAATAATCATAAAAAAATAGTAACGTTAAACAAAATCCAAAAAAAAATATTTTTCTAATAAACTAATTAAGTAAAAAAGAAATAAAATTTGTAACATCCTATACAACTCGCACCACAGCATCGTATTACAAGCCTCTCCTTCTAACAGTATGTTTTGTCTCTTTTAAATTCATTCAACCCATTCATATGCTTTGTGACCTTTACAAGTGAACTTTACGTTACAGTTTTATAGGTAAGGGTGTTCTAAAATTCTTTGTTTTGGAAAATTTAATAACTCTGTAAATATTGATGTTTAAAGAATGTAAGTGTTTAATACAATTTTAAAAAAAGTTATCCCCTATATGTGTGTTCATTTATTGCCGCCATTGTAAAGACACGCTGTATATGACAGGAAGGTCATAGATTTGGTAAGAGATTTCTTAGAACTATATTTACCTACATATATACAGCAACATAGAGTTAATAAACGTTAAACAAATAACTAAACGTTTTTTCCTGTCCGTTTCATTTTATATTTAACTGTGGTTGAGAAAACAAACTCAACACTTTCATCCAATCAAACCACTAAAAGAATCATAATTCAGACACAGTATACAGTATATATCATAGAATTTCTTTACCTTAAAATGAAATCTTATTACGTCTTTCGTCATTCCGAACCAAGCCCCTAATTCGGTGACGCGGTCATTCTCGTGGTGGTCTTCGCCAACTGTAACCAATCGGAAACCATAAAGGCAAAGAACGAATCCTTATGGAGATTAATAATCATTGAGACCACAGCACATATCATGGAATTTCGTTACCTTCAAAAAGGAATCCGATTTCTCCACTCCCAAAGAAACGCGTGCCGCGGCCGTTCTCACGACGCTCTATTGGTCTGTCTTCGCATCGCCGTTGCCCACGCCTCCACTCTCGTCTCGGGCCCGACGCGACCGCGTGCCGATGCCATATTGTACGAGCACTCCGAACCGAGATCGAGTGCCATCCGCGGTAAAAGGAATTCCAGGCTGAAGCATCGGTGAATTTGCATCGCCGTCACTCCCATCCGTCAAGCGGGTTCAACGGCTCGCATTGTGCGCCGGAGACGCGAAGACGTCGACGTTTTATCTTACAATGCATTCGAATGTGTACAGTAATGGAGATCACGATTTTCTGCAAGAATTCATATCTGCTGTTAAGTTATACGTCTGAGTCGTATACGTGTTCAATTTTCTTTGTCAGCTCGCGGTCGTACGTATCGTTACTTATTGTTAGTTGCCGTTTTAGCCGCTTGTTCATCCAAGCTCCATGGAGCAGGGGCTTGGATGAACAAGCGTAAACATTTCACATCTTACATTGTAAATTAAAAGATCTGACTGAGGAGAGATAGCTGGTGTTCTCCATTTCGAACTATTGGCATTGAATTTTACACTTAAAATATCGAAGAGAGGAAACTAAGACAATTCAAACTGATACACATCAATAGAATTTCTCAATCGACGTAACTGGTTAATCTTTTAAACCTTTAAAACCTTTTGTGATCTAAGACACAAATACTGCGAATTATCATGGAACTGTAACCACTAGAACAGAAAGCCCACGCCTTATAAATTCATTACTCTAAGTTTGTTATATCTTGTAAATACGTAAGTACGAATAAGCTGTTACTGTCAGCAGGATATGAAGTGGCGCACATGTTGTTACTATTAGAAAAGTGAAAGTGTTCACCACTGAGCTCTCACGCCTCTGGAGTGCCGGGTTCATTTTCTGTGTGTCTCTGTTGGAACATGTACGCGCAAATTATAGTCAACCTGTTCCGTAAATATAATATACAGAAAAAGTAAAGCGTTCGATCGATCTTATATCACTATATACGTACTCGATATCTAATCCAAATAAATATATACTTATATCACATACATACACACTTCAACGTATACGTATGGTATTAAAGAAAGAAAGAAAGGAAATACATTTATATACCAAAAAAGGACGCACACAATAAAAGAGAAAGAAAAAAAAACTAAAATTAACAAATAAAAGAAATAAACACAAATACTTATAAACAATTCAGTAAAGCAAAAGCAAATAAATAATTAAAATATAAAACAAATGAAAAATAACTTTAAAAAACTATAAATATTGTAAGCTCTATTCCGGTAAATTAGGTTAGCAGCTAAGCATTATGCTATGCCGGAAGTCAAGGCCCCAACACAGCGCTGATTTTCAGTGCGAGCATTCATTAAAGACATTCCTTTTCCTCTAATGTAATATTTAGATAAAGCCGATCGAGGGGAAATGAATTCGATCGTGCGGAACGCAATAATAATTATGTAGATCGCGGTGAAGATTTCGACAGATTTTCGAATCAATTTCCGCTTTACATCCCAGCAATGTGCGCTCCTCTCGTTCCACACAGGACATCCTTTCCCTACCAAAAACTTTTCGGCCGCAGCAGCGCGCACCGGATCCTGTAAGCCAAATAACAACACATCAAACGCGCACAATGTCAGTCATACTGGCGACACGTCGAGCTGTACGAAGTTACATCAGTGCGTCCGTAACTGCGTTACGGAAAGTGAGATCGGTTCAGATACGCGCGGCTAGTTAGTGCGTGTCGTTAAAATTTGAATACTTTTTTTTACGGCGGTGCCAATGGCGGGTCTGGCCTCAAACCTGTTTGCGAACGGCCGGCCACACACCTCGCTGGAGCAGGAGGGGTACTATGGGTACGCATCAATAACCGTAAGCGTGTCCGAAGGACGTATAATCATCGTGCGATTTACAAGTCGCATGCACCGATTATGAATGCAGCAAGTTAACATGGCACGTCTTAAATATTGCGGCCCGTACTTGAACTACTACAACTTGAACTTGTCAAGTTAATTGTCGGAACAGAATTGTTGTTACATTATAACCTAGTTTCAAGTACAGCCTAATTCGGTGTGTAATATTATTTTAATATTATAGCAAAAGAATTTAGCAGTTACACAAAGTGTTTTGTTGATTTGTTATTCCAACCTTCGTGATGATTCTTAATTTATTAATACCCAATTCTAAAATACAGCATAATATTTTTCATATAAATATTAGCGATAATATTAAATAGACTAAGCGACTGTCCACAATTAGATAGTCTTCAAATTATAATTCGATCCTATTTTGTAAACACGTTTGAATAGAATATTATCATTCCTCAATTTGCCCTCAATAAATCCAGGGATATCGCGTCATTGAAACAATTATCTACCTCAAACTTTTCTTCCAACTCTTAAATCTCCTTTTTATGTTATGTCTTAAACCGTGTCAGATAAGCTCTCTCAAGTATCACCAGTAAAATATGTTCCTATAGTAATAAGAGAGGCAATATTGTGTGCATTTACACCATCGACAGACATGTCGAAACTTGGTGCACCCCATGAATAAACTGTGAAGATAAGCTCACCAAAGCTGATAGCAAAAGTTTGTTGTTAACAACAAAACCAGGTCACGAGATAAGTGTTGATAATCCAAAAATATAATGGGAACAACTCTCAAAAAAACTAGAACGCTACAGGCGTCGTCATTTTTATTTCGGAAAATCCGAAATTAAAAATATAAGCGAAACGTCAAAGCTTAGAAATAGCCATCCATGAATATAGTACTCTACGCAGTTCTAACATCAATTGAGTACGACAGAATTAAAACCTTTAAATTTCTCGAGCATTACATTTCGTCGTGCATTCACACAAAAGAAATCAACTCACAAAGCCTCGTGTATATAAACATCATTGAACAATCGAAACAAATACAATCACGCAGCCAAAATCGATTAAAATACCGTGGTGATGTTTGTTTAGCGAATGCAGGAATCGGTTTCCACGAGGCAGAAGGAGGTATGCCTGGAATGCCGGCTCAAGTCGCTGCGCACCACCCACCGCTTGATTACTCGCCGGCATATTCTGATGAATTATAAGAAATTATGCAAAACGCATGGGGTCACGATCTCCGTTAGCGCACTTTCGCTGAGACAGTTCCGAGTCGTTTGTCCAGCTCGTACGCTTTTCCACTGGCGTGAGATCCCTCGATTCATTTATTCTGCTCTTTTCGCTCCTCAATTCTATGGGTGTGGGGGCAGCGTCGGAGACCTGGTTTAATTGGTTACATGTGCTATTGCTAGTATCTCGGACCACCCAGGAGGGTTTGCGCACCGTCTGTTCGTTTATTTCCCATAATCTTATCTCTCCATAATGATCAACATGGGTCAGAGCGTTACAAAAGGGATCGCGGCGGCTAATGAGTTTTTGAACCAAATATTTCAAGTCCCATTTAAACTACCATTGTTAAATTTTATTTAGCAACTTATTGGAACATTTAATAATCGTAATTCAATAAAATTATGTTAAATTCTGTGCAAATTTTTCACGTACTATTGAACGTCAAGATCTACTACCAGCTCGCAAACTCAGACCTATTCAGACAAGAACCAACCCGTAAAGGGCAAATTAATATTGTTATAATAGATTTCATTCATTGTAATAGGTTCGGTAATATTATTGGTTTATCATCAACGAAATATTCACAAAATTACTGTTTTCGGATTTTTTCTAGGATACTTTATATTACGACATTATTTAATTTAAAGTTATCTATACCCTTCATTCAATGATTATATATAAAATTAGGAGGTAGATATGACACCAGCGCACCAAAACTGAGACACTTGCACGCCAATTCGTATACTTAGATTGCTATTCTATAGACTGCCTTTATATCTCTTTCAGTATCATTCGCTTATAATTGTGACATACATACGCTTATATTGGAAATGACATGCGTCATCTTTAATAAAACATCATTGCCTTTATTTTAATTACTAATGTTTATTCCTGCCTGAATCTTAGGTTTCCATCTTGGATAGTCGTACACAAAAATTGAAGAGTTGTATGTTTTTTTTTACTTTTAAGTTTTTGGATTTTTGTAGTTAAATTCAAGTCAAAATTCTGATCGAGTTTGATTACTAAGCTAAATTGCCTTAATCTAAAGGATTCACTCTAGAATAGTGTTAAACAATAATTAAAGAGTCATGTTTTTTGTTAATTACTTTTCAGTTTTTTAATTTTTGTACTTTTAGGCAAGATAAAAATTCTCATGGGGCTAGATTACTAATATTTATTATGGTCTGGATCTAAGGGATTCCATAAAGAATAGTCCTACACAGAAAATTTAAGAGTTGTATGTTTTTATTAATTTCACAGTCTTTGGATTTTTGTAGTTTATTGTAGTTTAAGGCAAGACAAAATCCGTATCAAGCTCGGAGAGCTAAAAAAACAACGCTTTATAGAGTATTTGTGAACCCAGAGCACTGAAAAACGTAATCAAAATAATGTTTTGGGACATACTTTATGGTAGTCATTGTAGCCTGCTGTACCGACTTGAAAACCAAAAAGATTTTAAATTTAACCTTCCGTCCCAAAAGATACACTAGATCGGATAACACTAATGAGAAATGAATAAATTATGTTATTTCCTATTAATTATAAACAAAAACTACGAATGTTAAATATAAACGATTTACATTTACTTACGCATCAAATCCACGATTTTATGATTTCCTACGGGCATGCGTGTGTTTGGACACGAAGGCATAATATTTGTTGAACACTTCGCGAACTCGAAGAGGCGTTCCGTTCACATGACTTTATGACATCAGTTTCGTAATCATTTCAAAAACGTTTAACATAAACTAAACACTGTACGGACATATAATGTGCATTGTAAAACATAATTTCTCTGAAAGTGTTTACGGATTCATAAGATTATTTCATAAGATAGATGTTGCCATAATCCAATCTAGAATTTCGAAGGAATAGCCTGATAGAAAGCATAAATGGTATGTATATCTTACTAATGACGTCATATCACAATAATAATATATTTGTCTAACAAAATACCAATGTACAGAATGTACAGTTTTGTCCTTTTGTACATAAAGTCGTTAGGTTTTAGATCGCAACTAAACTGTATGTTATGGAATCTAAACACGAAAGCTTTACGTTAA